AAGCACTGAAATGAATGGGCTTCAATGCTGGAACTATCAGTTGTTTGGAACTATTGGCTGCTCCATGACACGCTTTACTTCTGCATTCCTCAGTTCCTATGGAAGCCTATGGGAGTGTCGCAACTCTGTTTCTCAACGGCTCTGGTTACCACTATTTTATTATTTGAAATCCAAAAGTTACTAAAAATGTTTTTTTTTTTAACCATAGTCATTATCTTTTTAAACAGTAATACAATTGTTCAAAGACATATTCACATTGACGTGCAAAATATTAAAATGATTTCTTTTTTAGATTTATATGTTATTAAGATGCTTAAGCAAGTGGCTAAACATGTAAACAGCTTGCAGTCTACTTTTCTTACGTTAAAGGTAGTAGGCTATCACAAACATTTTAAATTAAAACTTACCGTTGACTGAAATAGCCGTATAGGGCATTTTCTTTTGTATTATCCTTATTACAATCGTGCTGATCATAAAGAACTTTGTTTTTCTAACTCCACGAGTGCCATCTATGTTGCCTTTTTTTATAGTTTTTCCTTGTGTTACCCCTATAGTTAAAAAGTCGTGCTAAAAATAGATGTTAGGTCTACTTATTTGCATTTATAGTGTAATTAATACATTTCGTATCAATCCATGTTTTTTTTTTACTGTACCTAATGTGTTGTCACGTTAATTCAGCGTGTGCAGCACAGCGAAAATAGTCTTGTATGCAGAAAGTGTTTGTAAATGGTGATGATAAATAAACAAGAATAAACAAAATAATATGTTTATTCGTATGTATTTCTGTATATTGCATTTATTTTTAATATCAATGCTGTTTAAGACATACAATGCTATCACCTGACCATTATAATGTGATGAATTGATTAAAGAAGATCTTATTAATCCTGACATAATATTCCACCATGGCTTTTTCCTCCTCAGTTTCCCTCTGTAAAATTAGGTGTCGGCAACAGCTAAAAACATTGATGATAGCTCATTTAAAGGTAGTGTCACTACCACTAAACTGGACTAATATGGATAGTCATGGTATGGTGGGACTTGGGAGTCTGAGTCAACTTTGATATAGGGGTGTTCGATTCCAGGTATTTCAAAGTATCAGAGTTGGGTGGGGCATAAACTTTAAATATGGTGGAAAAGAACACCATTGTTGTTGTTAATGCTATTTTCACAACAATTACTTCAATTATGTTTGTACTTCAAAAATTGTACTTCAAATACTACAAGAATTGTTGTTGAAGTAGTGTGTTTATAGGCTATATATATATATATATATATATATATATATATATATATGTGTATGTACGGTCCTTTGAAGTATAATGTATGCTCTATAAATTGTGATATACGAATGTATTTGGCTGAAAAATCTGAATTTTCAGGAAAGTGACTGTCTATTGCAGTGAATGTTTATATGATTGTTAATCAATGGGATGCTGCATTTTATTCTTTTTGACATTATAGCACTTAAATGAAACAAGGTCGTAATCATGACTTCATAAGTGAGAAATGGGACATGTTCGATAGCACATGAAGGCAGCATAAGGTTTATTAGTAATCAAAGGAAATTTATAAGGATTTGTGTATACTTGGCAAGTTGAGTTTGGAAACTGTTTTAAAGCAGAAGGGAATAATACGTTGCTAGTGAAAACGAAATTTACACTGAATTAGTCAAGTTGTTGTTTTTTTGTTTTTTTCCAGAAATGACCTTTTGAATTAATGACAATGGAGAAAAGATCAAAGTTAGAGGTGGAAGGATACCTTCATGATGTCTCCAAAGTCATGGAGGGAGGAAGTCGACACAAATACTTCACAGTAATGTTACAGGAGGCAACAAGAAATAGTCGTGTGGTGGTATTTGATGTGCAGCGTCATCATATGTTTGAAAGTGCAGAAAAAGACAGGTAATTGTAAAAATAATGTTATAGGCAAAAATATGTTTTTTTTGTATTTCTGAATAAGTATTATTTGTTGTATGTTTGTCTTTGTGGGAAAATATTAATGGAAGTTGTCTGTTGTCCTTTTTGTAGGAGTCCTGTAAGGCTGTGTGGTGTTGGCTTTTCACCATCTCGCCAAAAGAAAGGAGAGATGGACATCATTGTCAATGCATCGACCACTCTAACGTGTGCGTAAACTACAGTTTGCGTTTGATGAGTGTACACATGACATTGTACAACACTGGACGGTGCAGCAAATCATCAATGATCCCAGGGAGTATCAAAGGGTAGGTTGTTAGGTGTTAATGGCATGCACACATCATACCTGCAAATTAGTTGGGTTTTGGCAAAATTTGACGTTTTGTATGAAAATATGTGATTCATGTGAATTGTAGCATCTGGACCAATCAGACACACCATTTTTCATTTGATTTAACAAATCAATTATTCATTAGATTAACAAATAATCACAGACCCCTCACCCAATAAACATGCTGGGTGCCAGGATGTCTGCAAACGAACAGGCCTCTGATTCCATGGCAACCAATGCTGATATCACTGGTTTTATTGCCCAAAGGACTGTGGGTAGAGAAACTCACTACATTGTCCATAGGAAAGACACAATGCACAGTAAAAATGGACTCTTCTCCAATGTAGATATGAAAAGTTTTTAATGCTTTTAATGGTTTTTAATGCTAGCTTTATGAATATTGATATTTAATTCTTGACAACATGAGTAGAAACCAGTGAAATATGATTTTCAAATCCATGCTGATAAAAACAGAATGATCGTGCTGACTGATATTTGCAAAGTGTGTCGAAAAGAAGAGCTTTCTAAGGCTGCGTGATTTTCTTATAGCCAAAAAATGCTGGGTTAAAAACAAATGAACTTGGTTTATTTGGGAACCCAGTGCTAGGTAAATATTGGGCAAAACTTATGCTGGGTTATTTTGACCCTGCTGGTTGGGTTAAATGTTTTTAATAATGCTAATTTTTGTGCTGGTGCATTGCTGAAGTGTGAGGTGGTGATGGGCTACTGCTCGCCTGGGGAACTGTGAACCTAAGAGTGCCATATCGACTTTCACTCATAGTTGAAAGATGCTGTGACTGAGTCCATAATCTGCCCATAAACAAACAGTACGGTCATTACAGAAGATATGTTAACATTAAGTTAATTAAATTTTCCATGCATTACAGTAGGTATTAATTATAGATCTGTCTCAATGTTAATTGAATATTAAAAGAAAAGATGGGATTATTATTATTAATTATTATTAAGAAAAGAATTGGAGGAAAATATTCAATGTTGCTAGGTGATTTATGTTTGGAATGTTTAACTCGATTTTTCTCAAAATCAACTTTGCTGTGTTCATCGATATTTTAAACGGCTGTAGCTCAGTCATTTTTTTGGTTAATTTTAACAAATCATATATCATTTTGAAGGTGTTAATGGAGAATGTGAAAATAAAATAATTTTTCAAAATGTGCTTATTTTGACTAATTTTGCCAGCACTGATCACATATAGATTTTTAAAATATATATATATATATATATATATTTGTTTATACAATTTATTGAATGTTCCAGCTAAATAAAGGTACATTTACTGTAAAATAAAGCACTGTTTGTTTTATTTCAATATTATGTGTATTTGAAATGTGTATCTTTGTTCTTATTTTTAATAACAAACATAATGTAATGACAAAGACTTTTATGTTTGCCCAATTTGGCCTAAATGTCTGCCAATGTATTTTTTATTTTATTATCTTGTAAGTCTTTGTTTTTAATAGGAAAATATAGGTCCTTGTTTTTTGAATGTATGTGTGTCTGGTATAATATCATGTTATTTTTGCCAATTTAAGAGATTTTTGCTTGTGCAAATGTTTTTCCCTTCTTTTTTGCATTTCAGGTGAATGTGACAGTCAAAGTGGTGCAGTTGGTCGAAGACAGACAGGGTATGACCCGTAGTAATTAAAGATTGCAAAGGTCATATGATGTGGCAGATCAGACTTGTGGTTTGTCTTTGACTGTCTGGGGAGGAGATGTGTTGGAAAAAAGGGAAGTGGTATACCATCAAGAATGCATCTGTTTGACAATTTGATGGTTACACTTGTTTGTCTACCACTACACAGTCGTCTTTAACTGTTGTACCGGATGTCTCAATTACTGTTTCGCAACCAATTGATAATTTTAAAGTCAAAGAAGGAGAAATTGTGACCGCAGATGTGAAAGCCCAATACATGTGTCCAAAGCTGCATACCTTGCCTGCTGTCAATTTGGAGACATTGATGACCAGATGTCAACAATGTACAGCATACCGCAAAAGTGAAGTCAGTACTTCATGCAACAGTCACTGTACAGGATAGCAGTGATAATATGAGCACATTTGTATTGGATGACTTTGTGCTTCGCCAGTTGCTGACTGCAAATTGACAGTCAAGTGGAACCAGATCAGTTGGCAGCCAAGTTGCTCAGTGATGACAGACGTTTGCACATCAAATTCAGAGGACAACGTGTTATGTCTGCATCATTTGTGTTTGATTCTGATTCAGCTAATCAGTCTTCTGAAGCAGAATGGAATGATGGTGTGATAAGTAGTGGTACTGTGGAAGAGTGTGCAGAACCACTGTCTGAAGTTTTGATGTTGGAAGAATTGTTTGCAGATGAAACTGTTGAACCTTCAGAGAGTCAGTGTTTGGGGGAAAAGGGCAAAGGAGCTGACTCTGTGTCTGCAAATCAGTCTTCTGAACGACAAGGGAAAGATGTCATGGTAAGTGATGCAAGCATGGAAAAATCTGCAAAAGCACTGTCTGATGATGTGATGCTTTAAGAATTGTTTGTTGTTACGACCCTTTAAGATGGTCTAGGGGTAAAAGGAGTAACATTAAATTTGTGGCAAATCTGTAAACTTGATGGAGGCAGCAAGAGACAATGCAGGGACACAAACTGCCAACGAAAGGGATTTATTATACAAGGTGAAAAGAATCCATATAACTACAAAATATAAATTCTCAACAGGCAAATGTGTTCTGTCCAACTCAACGAATACAATACCAGATCATCAAGATACGCATTGCAATTTGGTACATCATGTAAAACGATATTAACAAGGCGCTGGAAAGTTGCTGGGGCATTTCTAAGCCCAAAAGCCATCGCCGTATACTGGAGGAAGTTATCTGGGGTTACAAAGGCTGAAATCTCAGAAGCTTGTGAGGTGAGTGGAACTTGCCAATATCCTTTCAGCATATCAAGCTTTGTAACAAAACATGCAGAACCGATGTTATCTATACAATCCTCCATTCGAGGTAACGGGTAACTGTCTGGCACAGTCACAGCATTTACCTTACGGTAATCTGTGCAGAATCTGAATGTGCCATCGGGTTTGGGAACAAGTAGGCACGGAGAACTCCAGGGACTGCAGCTGGACTTGGCTAAATCATGTTCCAGCAAATACTCTACCTCTTGATGCATAACAGATCTTTTCATTGAGTTTACACGGTAAGCATGTTGCTTAATAGGACGAGCTCTGTTCACATTAATATCGTGTTTCAGGACATTTGTTTGTGTAGGAACATCACCAAACAGACATTTAGAATCAGAAAGTAATTTTTCAATGTCTATTCTCTGATCCACAGTCAAATGATTAAGATATGAGCGACGATCTTCTAAAATCTCTGAATTTGCTAACCTTGCACACTGCTGAAAAGTATGACGAAGCACCACACCATCTGTGTCCGCACCCAAGGTAACAGGAGATGGCGCCAGATCCACGGCTAGCGCAACAGAAGAGACAACGGGCCCTGCAGTGTGTTCCACAGCACCGGCCGTTGGCGTTGACGACTCTCTGGTATGATAAGCTTTTAACATGTTTAGATGACAAACATGGGTTTTTCGTTTTCGATCAGGTGTGTACAACATATAATCAGTTTCACTCATTCTCTTTTTCACAACATAGGGACCAAAGAAACGAGCAGACAAAGATGATCCTGGGACAGGTAACAACACAAGCACTTCGTCACCAGGTTGAAATGATCGCGCTACCGCTTGCTTATCATATTTACTCTTCATGTCTTTCTGAGCATTGGCAAGCGACTCTCTAGCCAGCGACCAAGCAGTATGTAGACGATCTCGAAACTGGCTCACATAATCCAGTACACTAGTGTTTGAATTCGAATTGGGCGCCAAAATCCGTTCTTTAAGAACCTTCAACGGACCTCTAACTTGGTGTCCGAACACAAGTTCGGCTGGGCTAAAACCAAGAGATTCTTGAACGGTTTCTCTGACAGCAAATAAAACTAAGGGAACCCCCTCATCCAATTCTTTAGCAGTGTCCTGGCAATATTTCCTAAGCATTGACTTAAGGGTTTGGTGAAAGCGCTCAAGTGCGCCCTGGCTCTGCGGGTGGTACGCACTTGAGACTCGGTGAGAAATTGCCAGTGATTCAAGTACTTGTTTAAAAAGTTTCGATAAAAAATTCGTACCTTGATCAGTTTGCACTATTTTTGGGAGTCCAAACGTGGAGAAGAACTTCACCAAGGCTTTGCTGACAACAGGCGCAGTGATTTTTCTTAAAGGAATCGCCTCTGGAAATCTGGTGGCCACACACATAACACACATAACAGACTGGTTACCAGACTTAGTCTTAGGTAACGGACCAACGCAGTCTACCATCACATGTTCGACATGTTCGAAAATCACAGGTATAGGAGACAAAGGAGCGGGTGGAATTCTCTGGTTTGGTTTCCCAACAATCTGACAGGTATGACAAGTACGGCAATA